TGCTATGGATGCAATGCTCAATCACGAGGATCGGACTTTGCTATTTACTCCATGGGTTCGCCATTCGCTCGCCCTCCTCCGTTTGCGTGTGCTGGGGGGGCGGTTCTCAGGCTCAGGGCCTGGGCCGCCCCCGTCGCTCGGGGGGCGTCGGAGAGAGCAAGAGCGTGGCCCGCGAGAGAGGTGCGCTCGTCTCTCTTCCCTCCAGGTGCACCGTTGAATGTTAGCGGGGCGATGATCGGTGGATGGCAAGAAAGATCTGCGGCGTTTGGCTAGTGCGTCCGTCACGTACAGGGCTGTGCCGCGTGATGGCAGGGCTTCTTGACCGGGATGTCTTCATTATGATTGCAGGAAGCGCGTTCTCGCGTGGTATTTCCTTGCAAGTTACTCAAACGCCGCGCCCTCGACACTCAGGAATCACGCTCTCGCTGTCGATATCCTAATGATTTATTTGTGAATCGCGCTATCGCTCGAGACTTCCTTGCCATTCATGCAGGACTCACGCTTCAGCAGCCCGCCTGCTCGACCTGGCCGCTTGGCCCCGCTTTCCCGACCCGCCTCTTAGGGTCTACCCGCCCGATCTGCCCGTCTGGTTCTGCCACGTGTTTTCTGCTCGGAGCCCCCCTCCTGCTACTCGCTCTCGTGCTCCATCCTTGTCATGCCCCCTTTTCCCTACCTTCCATCCGTCCTCTCGTCCCCTGCCTCGGGGGCTGCACGAAATACACGTTGCAGGTAAGAGATATACCCCAAAGGGGGTATGATCGAAGACGAAGAGGGCAGGTATCGATGGCTTGGGATATACGTGCTGAATGGCACGCGAGCAGATTAGAGCGAGCAGTCATAGATGATTGTTGTTGTGGTTGTTGTTGAAGATTCATTTTTAGAGAATCATGATTCTCGATCTCTGGAAACGGTTCCGCGCGCTCTCGCCTCGACGCCGGCTGCAATTCTTCTTAAAACGAGGCTTCCGCTCGAGCGCGGGCTTGATTGTACATGTGTGCCCTTGGAGGCCCGGCTGCAACGACAACGGCCCCCGCTCGATATTTCTTCACGCTTTGCCCCCCGAGACACCCTGGCCTCAGAGGCCCCCGAACTCAGGAACGGCGCTCTCGCTCGAGCCTTTCGCGTGATTCAGTCAAACTGGTGGAGGCCCAACTACGAAGACAAGGGTTCTCATTCGACACCTCCTTTAGATGTATTCCCAGAGGCCTGGCCAGAGAGGCCCCCGAAGTCAAGAGTGGCGCTGTCGCTCGAGACTTCCTCGTCATTCAGACAAGTTGGTGGAGGCCCAGACACAGCGACAAGGGTTCCCGTTTGATATTTCTGATCTATCGCTCGAGACTTCCTTGCCATTCATGCAGGACTCACGCTTCAGCAGCCCGCCTGCTCGACCTGGCCGCTTGGCCCCTCTTTCCCGACCCTCCCGTTATTCTGGGGTCTACCCGCCTGGCCCCCGCGTCCTGCTGCGTAATCCCTCTTGTGTTCCATCCTTCTCCTCCACTGTTTTAGGAGCTGCGCTGAATATACGCGGCAGGTAAGGAAGATATACCCCCAATGGAGTACGGTCGAAGACGAAGAGGGCGGGTATCGAGGGTTTGGTATATTCGTGTTGAGTGGCACGCGAGCAGGTAAGAGCGAACAGTCTTAAACTGACTGTTGTTGTTGTTGTTTGTGACGGAGGATGGTGATGATGATGACAATGGTGATGCTGCTGCTGCTGATGATTGTTGTTCTTATTAATATATTCACTGTCTTTGTTATGATCATTATTGTTGACACTATGGCCATGATGAAAGGATGAGGTGGATGACGATGACGGTGATGATGACGACGATGATGATGATGATGAGGAGGAGGAGGAGGAGGTTGTTGTTGTTGTTGTTGTTGTTGTTGTTGTTGTTGTTGTTGTTGTTGTTGTTGTTGTTATGGTTGTTATATTTGTTGATGCGATTTTGTTGTTGTCGTTGTTGTTCTTGTTGCTGAAAATGATGATGCTGATGATGATGGTTGTGGTGATGGGTATAAGGATGAGGATCTTGAGGATGATGAGGATGGGGAAGTGAGGGGGACGATCGCGAGTCTGACCCCTCTGCCTGGCGTGGGCAGGCATACCGCAGCAGCCTTCAAAAGCGAGGGGCTTGCACCGCGGAGGCGCGCCCGGCAGGCTCTCTTTTTCCTGTGCTTCCCCCGCGCTCTGCCCTCTTCCTGGCCTCCGCCCTCCGCAGTCTTCTTGATCCATCCTGCTCTTTCTGGCGCCCTTCCCTCGCCTCTTCCCTTCTTGGGAGGCAACGGAGCCGGAGGAGGATGTGGAGGAGTAGGAGGGCCTGAGCGGGAAGAACTGAAGGGAGGGAGGAGCTTGACGGTGATGGTCATGGTGATGGTGGTGGGACGAGGAGGAGGAGGAGGAGGAGGAGGAGGAGGAGGAGGAGGAGGAGGAGGAGGAGGAGGAGGAGGAGGAGGAGGAGGAGGAGGAGGAGGAGGAGGGGGAGGAGAGGGGTGGGGG